TTTGGGATAAGTGTAATACTGGCTTAATAAAATGTGTTAGGCAGTTTTCCTTCCCTTTCTATTTGTGAACAGTTTAAGAGGGTTGGTATCAGTTCTTTTTAAAGGTCTGATAGAATTCAGCAGAGAATCCATCAGGTCCTGGACTTTTCTTTTTGGGGAGACTCTTGATTGCTGCTTCAATTTCATTTTGTGTTATAGATCTATTCAGGTGATTAATTTCCTCTTGGTTCAGTTTTGGATGTCATAGTATCTAGAAATCTGTCCATTTCTTTAAGATTTTCAAATTATTTGAATATAGGTTCTCAAAGTAGTCTCTGATTTCCTGGACTTCCATGGTGTTTGTTGTTATCTCCCCTTTTTGCATTCCTGATTCTACTAATTTGGGTTTTTTCTCTCCTCATTTTAGTCAGGTTTGCCAGGGGTCTATCATCTTGTTTATTTTTTTCAAAGAACCAACTTTTTGTTCATTAATTCTTTGTATGGTTTTTTGGTTTCTATTTTGTTGATTCAGCTCTTATTTTATTATTTCTCTCCTTCTATTGTTTTGGGATTTGCTTGTTCTTGTTTTTCTAGGAGTTTGAGATGTATCATTAGGTCATTGATTTGGGATCTTTCAGTCTTTTTAATATGTGCACTCATGGCTATAAACTTTTCTCTCAGGACTGCCTTAGCTGTGTCCCATAGGTTCTGGTAGGTTGTGTTTTCATTTTCATTGTCTTCCAGGAACTTTTTAATTTCCTCTTTTATTTCATCAATGATCCATTCTTTATTAAGTAATGAGTTATTTAGTTTCCAGCTGTTTGCATATTTTTTGTCTTTACTTTTGTTGTTGAGTTCTACTTTTACTGCATTGTATCAGATAGTATGCAGGTATAATTTCTATTTTCTTATATTTGCTGAGACTTGCTTTGTGCCCTAGGATATGATCTGTTTTGGAGAAGGTTCCATGGGCTGCTGAGAAGAATGTATTATTGTGTAGAAGTTGGATGAAATGTTCTGTAGACATCAAGTAGTCCATTTGATCTATTGTATATTTTAGATCTAAGATTTCTTTATTGATTTTTTGTTTGGATGACCTATCTATTGATGATAATGGGGTGTTAAAGTCTCCCACAACCACTGTGTTGGTGTTTATATATGCTTTTAGGTCTTTCAGGGTATGTTTGATGAAATTGGGTGCGTTGACACTGGGTGCATACAAGTTGATAATTATTATTTCCTTTTGGTCTATTTCCCCTTTTATTAGTATGGAATGTCCTTCTTTTTCTCGTTTGATCAATGTAGGTTTGAAGTCTACTTTGTCAAAGATAAGTATTGCTACTCCTGCCTGTTTTCGGGGGCCATTGGCTTGGTAAATCTTCTTCCAGCCTTTCATCCTTAGCCTATGCTTATTTCTGTCATTGAGATGGGTCTCCTGTAAGCAACAAATTGTTGGATCTTCCTTTTTAATCCATTTCGTCAAGCAGGTGCTTTTGATGGGTGAATTAAGTCCGTTAACATTAAGTGTAGTACTGATAGGTATGTGGTGATTCCTGTCATTTAGTTGTCTTAGTTGTTTGAAGGTTTGATTGTGTGTACCTAAGTTGAGGTTACTCTCTACTGTCTTGCTTTCTTTTCCTGTAGTTTGGTGCTGCCTGCCTTTCATGGTTATTGGGTTTCACTTTCTGTGTGCAGAATCCCTTGAAGAATCTTTTGTAGTGTGGCTTTGTGGTCACATATTGTTTTAGTTTCTGCTTATCATGGAAGACTTTTATTGCTCCATCTATTTTGAATGATAGTTTTGCTGGGTAGAGTATCCTGGGGTTGAAGTTTTTTCATTCAGTGCCTGGAAGATCTCACCCCACGCTCTTCTTGCTTTTAATGTTTCTGTTGAGAAGTCTGCTGTGATTTTTGTTGGGTTTACCTTTGTATGTTACTTGTTTTTTCTCTCTTACAGCCTTCAATATTCTTTCCTTAGTTTCTGAACTTGTTGTTTTAATGATGATATGTCGTGGGGTAGTTTTATTTTGATCTTGTCTGTTTGGTGTCCTGGAGGCCTCTTGCATCTGTATGGGAATATCTTTCTCTAGATTTGGAAATTTTCCGTTATTATTTTGTTAATCATATTACTCATTCCCTTCGCTTGCACCTCTTCTCCTTCTTCGATGCCCATGATTCTCAAGTTTGGTCTTTTGATGGAGTCGGTGAGTTTTTGCGTTTTCTTTTCACAGGTCTTGAGTTGTTTAATAGTTCTTCGGTTTTTTCTTTAATTACCATTTCATCTTCAAGTTCTGAGATTCTGTCTTCTGTTTGTTCTATTCTGCTGGATTGGCTTTCCGTTTTGTTTTGCAGTTCTGTTTCGTTCTTTTTTCTGAGGTTTTCCATATCCTGGCTTGTTTCCTTTTATGTTGTCTATTTTTGTCCTGAGTTCATTTATCTGTTTATTCATCGTGTTCTCTCTTTCACTTTGGTGTTTATACAGTGCTTCTATGGTTTTCCTTTATTTCTTCTTTTGCTTTTTCAAATTCTCTATTTTTGTTGTCTTGGATTTTCTTGAGTGTCTCCTGTACATTTTGGTTGACCCTATCCAGTATCATCTCTATAAAATTTTCATTGAGTACCTGTAGTATGTCTTCTTTTAAATTATTCTTGTGGGCTTCATTGGGTCTTTTGGCATAGTTTGTCTTCATTTTGTTGGAGTCTGGATCTGAGTACCTGTTTTCTTCATTCCCCTCTGGTTCCTATACTAATTTTTTGCTGTGGGGAAACTGTCTTCCCATCATTGTCTTTGGTGTTGTTACTGTCCCTGTACTGTGTGCAATTAAGTATTTTCTAGCTTGTAATAATAACAATGGTAATATTTAGAATGGAAGGGTGAGCTGAGATGGAAAGCAAGAAGTTAAAGAAATGGGAAAAACAAATACACAGACTGGAGGGAGAAAACAGAACAGGGGTATCAGACAAGAAGGTTTCAAAGGTATAAACAGGGAGCTTTAGTGTCCTAATTGACAGTAAGCTGAACAGATATTAGAGAGACAGAGAGAGGATTAAAAATCAAAAATAAAAAAAGATAAGAATAAAAATAAAAAATAAGTAAATGAAAGAAAAATCTATATATAAAAATGTATTAAAATAAAATGAAAAAATAGAAAATTTAAAAAACCAAAAAACCAAAAAACCTCCAAGTTCAAATGCAATGAAGTTTCAGTCTTAATAATTTGGGGGTCTGTCTCAGTCTCCAATCCTGGAGATGGTGCCTCAGATGTTGTTCTGTAGTTGTCTCATCAAAGGGGACACATAAAGTAGAACAAAACTACACACACACGCATGCTCCTGATTACTGGCCGGTGCTGCTGCTCCTGCCAGCCATCATGTTTGTTTACAGCTCACGTGGGAAGTGGGTCTTCCCTATTCTGTGTAGTTTTTCTCCCTCTGCCACTCTCACAAGATTTCCCGCTCCTGGTTGCTGGGCGCACGCCCCTGCTCCTGCCAGAGGCTCTCCAGCCAGACCGGCTTGTTTATTTACAGTCCCGGGAAGGATTCCCTTCCCCCAATCTTCGGTGCTCAGTGCACCACACCCTCTTTCTCGTGTGTCTTTATTGTTCTTATTGCTTATTACTCAGTTTCTCTTTTTTCCCCGGGTGGAGGTTAGTCTGTCCAGGGGGCTATGCTGCTCTGGCCCAGGCTTGTCTGTGGGGTACCGCAGTACGGCGAAGCTCACCTGGTCTGTGTCTTGCCAAGCCGTCTGGGCGCTGGCGACTGGCGGCCGGGGGGCCCTCCTTGTTTCTCCGTTTAATGTGAAGTGGAGATTCTTTGCGCCGGCTGGAGGTGTGGAGGGGTCAAAGTTATGCCTTTTCTCAGTGATTATGCCTGCAAAGTGTGTCTCCAGCGTCTCTCCAAGACTTCACTATAGGAGGCTCGCTTTCTGCTTCCTCCCTCTAGCTGCCATCTTGGAATCCCTGCTCCAAATTTTTTTCCAGTGTGGTTGTACTAGTTTACATTCCCACCAGCAGTATAAGAGGGTTCCTTTTTCCCCACATGCTCACCACCACCTGTTGTTGGTGGCCCACACACCCTTTTTTTTTTTTTTTTGCAGTACTGGGGTTTGAACTCAGGGCCTCACACTTGCTAGGCAGGATCTCCTCCATTTGAGTCATGCCTCCAGTCCATCCCTCTCCCTCTTTTAAAACAGTCTTTAACAAGTTTTGTTATTCTTTTTTCGTACATGTGTATGAAGTACTTTGTTCATATTCGCCTCCCTTCAGTCTCTTCTGTAGATTTTTATGTCTGAATTATCACTTTATCCTTATAATGCCAAGAGGAAATCCATGAAATTTGTAATGAGTGAGCAGAATATCCCTTAGCTATCTGGGAAATTGACTGAAGAGGTTATTCCAAATGTGGTTAACATTTTACCCATTTGACCTTTGAAATTTTTAAAATCTTGTCTATTTTGGATGAAAATCTTATACTTCACCTTTTTTTTGGGGGGGGGTGGTATTGGGGTCCGAACCAGGGCCTCACACTTGCTAGGTAGGCGCTCTACCTCTTGAGCCACTTCACTAGCCCCATGTCACCTCCTAAATGGGAGGCTGCTGATGGTCATGTAGCTGTTTTGCTAGATTGTATAATTCACATCCATAATACTACTTTTTGGAATGCATGATATTTGACACCCTTGGTCTTGACCTTATGTCAGATGGCCTCAGGATGTTGTCTCTGATAAGGGAGCTGTAATGGTGACCTCCTTTCATACTTGTCTGAGGCCAGGTCATGTATGTTACAGCATCACTTGGAATGATTCAATGTTCATTGAACCTTTTTTTTTTTTTTTTTGTGGTATGGTACTGGGGTTTGAACTCAAGGCCTTGCTCTTCCTAGGAAGGCGTTCTACCACTTGAGCCACACCTTGAGCTGGTTGTACCATTCTTATTCATGAAACCTTTTGTGTTGTTGGAGGTTACCTAAACAGTATGAATTGTTCAGTGAAGCTGACTTACTCATGGTCCCTTTTCTTTCAGTTCTCCAGTGCTGAAGAAGCAAGTTTAAAGGAGCCCATCATTAAGAGGTTTGAAGAGGAAGGAAATCCTTACTATTCCAGTGCAAGGTGGGAGCCAGGGAACCACTCACTCCTTGTTGAGGGCAGTCAGGGCAGCAGCTTTACAGAGGCCTGAGCAGTTGGCATGGTTGGCCATCATAGGAATAAAAAAAATGTCTGGTTGGGCATGGTGTGCATGTCTGTGATCCCAGCACTTTAGAGGCTGAGGCACGGGATCTCGAGTTCAAGGCCAACTTGGGCTAAGGCCTGGTCTCAAAAAAAAAAAAAAAAAAAGTTGACAAACTTAAACTTGCACCATTGTTTCTTTATGCTAAACTGCTACCCTCCTCCAGGCTTCCCAGGACTGCAGGTCCATCATCATTGGTCTGATTCTGCACCCCCTCAGGCTACCTCTGGTTCTGATATCCAGGGACTAGAGGGGCCCTGTACCCAGAGAGTGGGTCATGCCAGGAGCTGAGAATATGAGTTACAATTTGGGGTGGGTCACTTTTAGGAATTAATTCTAATTTTTGCTTAAAAACATGGATTTCTTTCATACCCTGCTCTCTGATTATTTTGTTGTTACCCTGTTTTAAACACTTGTTAACAAGTGTGCTCAGATGCTGAGGGGTGATCCGTCACAGCAGGGTCCACGCCAGTGCCAAGTAATTACCTCACACCCATTGCAGCTGTTGCTTGTTTGTTTTCTGTGCCAGTTAATGAGGTAATAAATTGTCCCTGTCTGTCCCAGCTGGAGGCTTGCTGGCATGTGCTTTCAGATCTTTTTTCCCAACAATTTGAATGTTCTGCATTCGGGAAAAATCTAAGCTTCATGTCTCTCTTTGAAAAAGAGTAACTGTGTGTCTTTTAAAATTAGGTTATGCTATGACTTATGCCATTTACTGGTGAGAGCAGACTGGAGAGAAGGGGGAGAAGAAAATGAAAGTTAGAATCCATTCCAGTCATTTGGATGCATTCTTTGTGGCTGGCACAGCCCTTGGCACAAGGGTACAAGAGCTAAGTGTACTGTCAATGCCATCATTTGTTTGGGTTCAAGTAGTAACATTTGGGATTTTACAAAGTTCTGTTTGTCACCTTGCTAAATATATATTTTTCAGACAGGTTTTCAGGTATATTTTGTTATGGTGGGTCTATCGGTTCATTTTATTTAGAACAAAATATTTTTTAGTCTTTTATCTGAGAAACACACATGATCCTGATTTTTGACGTCGCACAAACAGACTTAGCAGGCATTAGAAACAAGGAAGCAATAGGAAGGCATGTAAGATGCTTAAGATGAAATCTAAAGTGTGTATTCTAAGCTCACTGACAGATTTTTCACATACGGTTTTGACTGAGATACTCAGACAGTTGAAATATTAAACTTTGAAAATAAAGCATCCTGGGTGTGGTGGTGCACACCTGTAATCCTAGCCCTTGGGAGGCTGAGGGAAGAGGATTGCAAGTTCAAGGTTAGTCTGGACTACATGAGCCCCTGTCTCAAAACACAAAAATAGAGTACTTTGTGTGCCATGATCTTGTTTTTAGCCCGGGCTAAGATAAGTCATCTCTTGGGAAAGATTGCATCCTTTATTATTTTTGTACAAACATCCATTTTCCCCTTCACTGTTATTAGGATCTGTTTGTTGTACATGGGGGGATTCATTGTGACAATTCTGAATAGCCTTACATTCTGGGGGTTAGATCACCCCTGCTATTTCCCTCCCTCAGCTCCACCCCACCCCACTTAAAGCAGTTGCAAGAGGTTTCATCATTGTATTGTGTTCATGTATGTGAAGCCCATCCACCATATTCCCTCACATTCATCTCCTGCATTCACCCTTGCCCCTCCCACAAGTACCTCCCCACACACTGTACCTATTTTACAGTCCTGTCTTTCATTTTTAATTCCTAAGCCAGTGTTCAAAGGGGTTTCTCAGTGTATCCCTGCTGTGAGTATACTTTATTTTGGTCAGTTCAGCCCTTTCCATTACTCTCCCTTACCCTTCCCTCCCACCCCCCCATTATTCAACAGCTTTCAGTACATATTGTTATATCCTCTAGTTTCACAGATGATATGTTTTACAATATTGTTGATGCTCTGTCATTATCTTTTCCTTTCCCTCCTTCCCTGAGTTCCAGAGAGTAGTTTCACTGTTACAGACAACTAACATCCATATTTTAAATGGATTGCATTCAAGGCAGGAGTGCACATGGCCTCGATAGACTTCCCTTTGGAAATAAATGTTGAAATACAGAAAGGTTTCTCCTAATTTGTAGGTGCTTAACCCTTCTGTTGAAACTATCCAACAAAAAGTGCCTGGAGATAGCACTTTTCTCTTAAAAGGTGAAGGGACTTTCAAGCTGGCTAAGGGTGTCATTCTTGGGTTTAGTAAATTCTAGCTTACCAACAGTTCTCTAGCTTGCTTATGCATGAATGTGGCTAAAGAAGGCTTTTCAGAGCTTGGTCATCACCTGGTACTGGAACCTCCAATGTGTCTGTTTTTGGTTTTTTTGCATCTCAGGGCCTGTGTGTGCCAGGCAAGTGCTCTATCACTGAGTCATGTCCTCAGCCCCTCCAGTGTTTGCTTAATCCCTTCATGTCACACTTGTATCTTGCCAGTTTGCTTCTGCTCAACTGTTACAATCAAACTTTGTCAGCATTTGATTAGAACCTCTTACCTGAAGTGGTCTTTAGTGGGTGTCACTAACCAGCCCTCCCTCATTGCTCTGTGGGATTTCACTGCTGCTGGCTTCAGAGGGGAGTGTAATCAAGTCACCTGGCCACAGAGTCTAATTGAGGCTTTCTTTTTCTTGGCCACTGATACTTTAGGATCCCTATTATGAATGTTTTATGAGCAGAGGTTTGATTCCTGCCTGTTTGTTGTTGTAAGAATGGTTTAATAATTGATGGAGTGTCTAGGTACCTGAGGCAGTCTGTTTAAAGAAAGCAGTACTGCCACTCTGTACTGTTTCTCCTTCATTTTTATTCACAAATTTGAGGTTGTCAATGAAAGCAAACTAAAATATTCACTTGAAAGTTTCCTCTGTAAGCAGTTTAAGGTTAATACTTCTTTTTTTTAATGTAGTAAAAAATAAAGAACTATATTTAAAGGTATTTATTTTTTAAATAAAATATATGGAAACCTGCTTATTAATTTTCAGTTGGCTAAGAGTGGGGTAGTTTGGAGGAATACTGCTTTTTCCAGTAAAGCTGTTGTTTTGAAATTACTACCTGGGCTTATGTGGCTCTCCAAATTAATGACAAAGCATACCAGTTTGATGGGTACATTTGTGTGGGCAGAAAAGAGAAGGAAAATTCTTCCTGAAATAAGTAAAGGTTACTTTAAGATTTCTTGCAGTAAGTAGCTTTTAAAGCCTTACGCGCCATGTGACTTCTGTGGTGGCCTGGGGTGAAAGTCATTTTCCTCTCTCATTTCTGTTCTCTTGAACATGGTTTCTGCGGGAGACTCTAGTATACACGTATTAGTCAGCAGACCCGGGTTATCTGAAGAAAGTCACCCTGGGCATGGACTGAAATGGTGGTTTGGTGGTAAACTCATAATAACCCATTCTTCATTCTTTTTGCAGGCTGTGGGATGATGGGATTATTGATCCAGTGGACACCAGATTGGTCCTGGGACTCAGTATTAGTGCAGCCCTCAACGCACCAATCCAGAAGACTGAGTTTGGAATCTTCCGGATGTAACCAGAATAGAAAATATGTTCTGTTGAATATATACCAAAAGTTAACACATATATTAGCCTTAAATTTTTAAATATTTTTGAATATGTGGCTATTACAGTAATTTTTTTTCTCAGCACAATGCATTGTATCTTTTTTTTTTGAGACAGTGACCCAGGTTGGCCTGGAACTTGAAATGTAGTCTAGGCTGGCCTTGAACTTGTGATCCTCCACCTCTTTCTCCTGAGTAATAGGTGAGAGAGTGAAGTCTGGCTTCATTGTCCTTTTTTTTTTTTTTTTTTGTGGTACTGGGGATTGAACCCGGAACCTTGTGCACTCTGCTGCTTGAACCATGCCCCCAGCTGCATTGCACTTTTTTTATCTTAAAAAAAAAAATCAGCGAGAATATATATTTGATGAGCAACAACCTTTTAAATTTTCTTAGAGAAATTTTTCTGTGGCTCAATTTTATCACCCATGAAATGAAGAGAATAATTTATAATTGTCCTTTCTATCCCACAAACAGTTTGAAAAGTTCTTTAATCTATAAATTCCAAGACTATGGAGACTATGAATTTAAAGTTGTATTTCTGCTGAAATGATTGTTTTGCTGACTATGTTTAATGATATTTTATCACTTATTTTTGGAAAGCATTGATTGCTTTTCCTTTGGCCACCATCTTATCTCCTTCTTCCAGTAGTCAGATTTCTCATGTCTACACAGTGGACTCTATTTTCTCACTACTCTCTTTACTCTGCCTTTTTCTGGCTTCCGTGGCAACAACTCTTTCTGAAGTCAATGTTGAGCTCCATGGTCTGAAGCCAGTTCTTTCCTGACTTTCTTAGCTGTAACTGTGGTGTTCAGATTTTGAACACCATCCTCAGGAGACGTGGGCCTTCGTCGTGGCTTACCACTCTAGGTACGAGCCTCTTCGAAAGTTATTTTAGTTTCCTTTGGACGCTCCTCTTCCTCTAGTGATCCATCTTGCCCCACTTTCATTATGTATTTTGATTTTCATTAATAAACATGAATACATTTGTTTTGAATAAAACACATCAGAATTTTATTGCTTGAAGAATACAGCATATGAAATCGCAAGAATGTCAAAATGAATTCACTGGGCTTTAAACACATAATACATTATCAGATGCAGTAAAATATTAATTAACTTGAACTCTGCATAAGAAAGAAAATAAGGGAAAATAAATCGTTCGGTTGAGAAACAGATACAATTAAAACAAAATATAAGGATGTTCCAGTACAAATTGAGAAAGCCAGCACTTGTGACTGACTTACCATTCCTTTAGGCTACACTCTCTTTGGAACTTAAACTTTTTAAAAATGATTCCTTTCTATCTTGTCTGTGGATATAATATTCATGAAGTAACTTCAACTTAAAATATTCAGCAAACCTTTTCATTCCCTGGGGGAAATGTGTTTGATAAATGTGTATTTCCCTTTCTCTAAAACTGTAAAAATATGAAATCTAATACTTACAAATTAAACTACTTAGCTCTCCAATTAAAATTAAAATCCTGGCAACTAGAATCTGTTGTGGGGCTTGATGAAGATGGAAATTTAAATGACTTGGCAGCTAATACAGGAATTTAATTACTTCCTATTATCTTAAGTGCCTTTTCAGTTTCCAGAATTACAAACAATGTGCCATTTCTCCAATACATGGATCCCCGTAATAATCACTACCACACTTAATTATTCACATCAATTTAAACTTCCTCTCTTTAAAAAGCAGGTTGAAACTACTTAAAACAGGAACACATTCTTATTCTAAAACATATGATATACAAGTATCTTTTAATTGCAGCAAGAGATACATAAAATTTATCATTTTAACCATTTTTAGTGTACAGTGTCATTAAAGACCTTCACTTTGCTGTGAGACCACCACCAACAACCATCTCTAGAATGTGTTCATTCCCAGCTGAAATTCTTTCCCCACTTCCTTTCTCCCTCAGCCCCTGGCACATTTACTTACTCTTTTTTTTTTTTTGGGTGTGTGTGTGTGTGTGTGTGTGTGTGTGTGTAGAACTGGGGTTTGCAAATCAGGTACTCTCCTGCTTGAGGCACATCTGCTGTCCATTTGGCTCTGGTTATTTTGGAGATGGGGGCTTGTGAACTATTTGCCTGGGCTGGCCTTGAACTGGGATGCTCCCAATCTCAGCCTCCCCAGAGCTAGGATTACAGCCATGAGTCACCAGCTATCTCCTTAACTCTTAACTTAATCTCATCTCTTGATTATTCTTGGTGGTTCATTTCTGCCCCTCTCGTGGCATCAGCTGCCATTTGGGAATCAGCCACAGTTCTTGGCACAGTTCTTTGACCTCCAGGCCTGTGTATCCAACAGGCCAACTAGATATCCACGCTGGTTGTCTTAGAGGATCCTCACACTCAGTTGCCCAGTTCTGTGGCTTTTGCCTCCTCTCCTGCCTCTTGAATCCCTCCACTTACGTCTTTTACCACCAGGGGCCTTGGGAGTGGTCTCCTGCACCCAGTCTTCCCCAGTCCGGCCTGACTACTCTGGAGTCAGATTTGCTATGTTGCTCCCTTCCTTCACATCCTTCAGTGGTTCCTGACAGAAGCAGTGCCAGTCCCCCAGTGTGCTCCATGATTTCGACTGTCACTTTTTACCCTCTACTCTTTGATGCCTCTCTTCAAGGGAGAATGGCCCCAGCCCTTCTAGACTTCCATTTCTATGAACCTATCTTTGCACCTTGGTGTCTGTAAGTCTTCCCTGCCTGAACTGTTTTACTCACCCTTCTTCACACTTATCCTGCAGCTAAAGCTCTTCCTTCTCTCAGTTTAGCCCCTGATCCTTAGGAATGTCTCTGTGACTTCCCTGGACTGGGCTGGCTGCCCTACCTTTCCTCTATCACAAATTCATTATGTTACCATAAACTTTCCTTAATATTGCAACCCCCCCCAATCCCTGCTAGAATGTAAGTTCCCCTGGAGCAGGGATGCTTCTACTTACCTTGTGTTGACAATGCCTGGCACTAGCAGGTACTAAGTATTTGTTGAATGAATACAGAAATTCATATTATAATTAATATGTTCAGGCCGTATAGTTTTAAAATGAGAAGATTGGTTATATGACCTAGTATACCTATCATGCTTTCCTAATAAAATTAAACTTTCAGTCATTTGTGTGTGATGTTCAGTTGAGACTATGTGCATCAGAAAGTCACTTCTGCTTATTTGGTGGGGACATACATATAGAAGATCATGGTTCTGAGGTAGCTGGGTTTTTTTAGAAGGAACACATTAATTTTTTTGTAAGAGTACAAGTCCATTTTAGCTTTCTACTTTTCACTAGTTTAACTCCTTGAAGTACAGCATCAAAAGGATTCTTGGTCCAGTGGCCTCCACAGAGAGGTTGCTTTGGAATCTGGCATGAGGCATGCCGCTGCTTCCATGGGCACCAGTTACCTTTCCCCAGTTTGCTCTGGTTTTGTTTAATCTGTGGCCAGGAGTCACTATGTTGTTTACTTTGTACGCATAAGCACAGCTCTTGCCCAAAAAGAATCCAGTTTCACCTTGGGCATAAACACTTTCAATTTTCTTTTCTTTTTTTTTTTGTGGGTCTGGGGTTTGAATTCAGAGCTTCCTGCTTGCAAAGCAGACACTCTACCACTTGAGCCACATCTCCAGTCCCATTTTGCTCTGGTTATTTTGGAGATAGAGTCTCATGAACTATTTGCCTGGGTTGGCCTCAACCTTGATCCTCCCAATCTCAGCCTCCCAAGTAGCTAGGATCACAGGTATGAGCCACTAGCACCCAGCAAATGCCTTAAAATTTAAAAGCAGCTACATGCTCCATTTTGTTCTACAGATCCTGGGGCTGGAGGCAGGGCTCAAGTGACAGTGCGTTTATCTAGGAAGCACAAAGCCCTTAATTCATACCCCAATACTGCTCCCCCCCCCAAAAAAAAACCAAATAATTCTGGAGAAACTGCTTACAGCCAGCAAGGGTGGCTGTGCAACAAAGCCTTCCAGCCATTTCTACCTTTTAGAAGTCTTGTTCCCAGGAGGCCTTCACAGGCACCAAACTGGCAGAAAAAACACATTTGGTATTTTTAAAATTACACTAAATTTTCTGTTAAAATTTACATCAATTCAGAAGACAAATTTTTTTCAAGACTAGGTAATATTCACAAGTCACATTTTCTTTCATATGAAAAAGCTAGAGTTAAAGAAAAAAATAGGTATGAACATAAACTGGGGGATCAGCCAGAGGTGGGAGGAGGGAAAGAAAGGGAAATGAGAATATGTATATATATGTATCTATATATGTATGAGAAAAGGTTACAATGAAACCCATTAAAAAAAAACAAAACAACTGCAAAAGAGCCAAGTGCATCTGTAATTCCAACAACTTGGGAAGTGGAGAGCAGGAGAATCCAGGCTTGAGGCCAGCCCTGGGAAAATTAGTGACATCCCATCTCAAACAATAAACCAGGCATGATGATGGACTTCTCTACCCAGTTACACGAGAGGCATGAGTCAGAGTATAAAAGTCTGAGGCCAACCTTGGGCGTTACAGGAGACCCCATCCAAAAAATAATTTACAAAAAGCAAAAAGGGCTGGGGGCTTGGCTCAAGTGGTAGGTCCAGAACAGCCAAAACAGCAACCCCCCAAAAAATAAATGGGTGGGAGAGATAAGAATTAATAAAGGGGGTGAGGATGATCAAAGTATATTCATTTGTGGAATTATCACATGAGCCCCCACCCCATGGCACAGTTTCCATGCACTAATACAAACGTGAAAAAAAAGGAGGTGACATTCCTTTGGCAGGAACGTTAATGAGACAAGGACTCATGGCTATTTCAGAAGTACTTTTGCCTTCCTCTTCTTAGGAGTACCTGGCCATCACTAAAACCACATTTAAATTATTTTTTATAATATATCCAATAGCAAATATTTATAATTTTTTACTAAAATAGGAGGGTTTTTTCATTTTTATTTATGAATTTTAGTCAGGATGATGATATGAGTTGCATAAGATTTTAAGAAATATCCAGCTAGTTTGTTGCTAAATTTGCCTCTCAGTACATAGAGAATGGAAAGAGACAAGATCACTTCTGTTTTTCAGTTTTCAAGAAATATGTTTA